TTGCCCGATCCAGATGAAATTTTGCAAAAATCTTTTGTTTGGCCCAAGGACGAACCCTATTGAAATTGGAGATAATCGGTCAAAATTTAGATATAGCTCCCATATATATCTTCGTCCGATTTGTCTTTTATTGTGCACCAAACGTGTAATATCAGCCCGAATTGTATGGAATTTTGCATATACACCCAAATTAGGCCTGAAAATATGTATGCCAAATTTGATCGAAATCGGTTCAGATATAGCTATAGCTCCCATATATATTGTTCATCCGATTTGTTATTTTTTTCCACCGCAGCCGTAATATGCACTATGCAACAACAATATTTGGGGAAATATATCAAATACAGCTCAGAAATACATTTGCTAAATTTTATCGAGATCGGTTCAGATTTGGATATAGCTCCCATATATAACTTCGTCCGATTTACCTTTTATTGTGCACCAAACGTGTAATATTTGTCCAAATGGGATGGAATTTGGCACTTACGACCGAATTGAGTGTAGAAGCTAGTATGTAAAATTTGGTGAAGATCGGTTTAGATATAGCTATAGCTTCCATATATATTATTCATCCGCTATATAGCTATAGCTTCCATATATATTATTCATCCGATTTGTCATATTTGTTACCCACAACCGTAATATGCACTCCGTAACAACGATATTCAGGGAAATATATCAAATACAGCTCAGAAATATCTTTGCCAAATTTTATCGAGATCTGTTCAGATTTGGATATAGCTCAAATATATATCTTTATCCGATTTCAAATTAATTGTGCACCAAATGGGCAATACAATTCCGAATTTAAAAGATACAAATACTTCGGCATATTTAGTCCTGTGAACTTTAAATTATAATTATAATCATAGCGTGTATGATTGAATTCTCCCATAAAAACTTTATGTTATGTGGAGCTCTACTTAATTAGCAAAGTGGTGTAGGGTATCATAAAGTCGGCCCCGCCCGACTTTAAGACTTTCTTTACTGGTTTTCTTTTATATGGTGAAAATATATTTATCTTTATTTTATTCACAAAACCAAAAAAAAAAAAAAAAAAAAAACAATTAAATTAAATCTGATTTTTACAGCAAATGTTAAAAGGTCCTTATGAAGTTTGTCAATAGAATGTACTATTATTTTGAAATTCGATTCCATTAAATTTTTTTTCAGTTTTTTCCCCGATTTTAGAATTTTTGCAATGAGATAGCATTTTTTTTCGTGAGTTTTTAGCGATTTTAAAGAGTAATTAAAATATTGATTTTTTTGGTCATAGCTTATTATCTTCTGAAATGATATTATTCGTATAATTCCAATTACCCAATAAATACATAAAATCTATATATAACAGAATCAGAATTAAAAAAAAAACACTACAAATATACATTCGAAAATAGCAAGTCAAAATGAAAAAAATCATGCAATATAAAACATTACTATTGTACATTTCAAAAATCACAATAAAATTTTTAAAATTTCATATTTTTAGGCGATTTTTTTTTGGATTTGTTCTTCTGCCAAGAGACAATTCCTAATTTGTCTGAATCGTTAAAATCAGATAAGCGGTCCTTGAGTTATAAGCGTAGTAACTAACACAACTTTCTTTTATACATTTTGATATATTTAGATTAAAAAAGTAGGCGTGGTTAGTTCCTCAGCCTCCAAATAAATATTTAGGGTTGGATGGGAAGTCAAGAATATCTCGTGTAATAATTTTCAAACCGATATCTTCATTATTTTGTCAAATATAAGGATTTTAGATAAATCTAAATAGTGGGTTTAAAAGTGGGCGTGGTCAATATTGTTTTCTTTGAAAACCTAACTCGGGGTATGACAAACGTTTTTAAAAAAATTATGCAAATCGGTTCAGCCGTTTTCAACTGATTCCATTACCAACGAACAACAATTGATTTTTATACCCTCCACCAAAAAAGTATGGAGGGTATATTACGTTCGTCATTCCGTTTGTAACTCATCGAAATAATCATTTTAGACCCAACAAAGTATATATTCTTGATCAGCGTAAAATTCTAAGACGATTTAGCTCTGTCCGTCCGTCTGTTGTAATCACGCTACAGTCTAAACGAATTAAGCTAGGAAATTTAGCACAGATCTCTCTTTTGTCTGCAGGCAGGTCAAGTTCGAAGATGGGATATATCGGTCCACGATATCGTATAGCCCCCATATAACGGTACCCCCGATATTCGGTATTTTGATGATTTTAGCCACATTTTTCAATGTAATTGTCTGAAATTCCACAAAAGGAGTCCCTTTTGGACATCTTACCCCCTCAAAAAGAATTGTCTATGTACCTCCCGATATTCGGTATTTTGATGATGTTAGCCACACTTTTCAATGGAATTGTCTCCAAATCCCCACAAGTAGTTCCTTGTGAGTACTTCACCCCCTGAGAGAGAATTGTCTATACAGGTCCACGATATCGTATATCCCCCATATAACGGTACCCCCCGATATTCGGTATTTTTATGATTTTACCCACATTTTTCATCGGAATTGTCTGAAAATCCACACAAGGAGTTCCTTGTGGGTACTTTATGCCTCGGCAGAGAATTATCTGTATAGGTCAACGATATCGTATAGCCCTCATATAACGGTACCCCCGATATTCGGTATTTTGATGTTTTTAGCCATATTTTTCAACGGAATGGTCACAAGGGGTTCTTTGTGAGCACTTTACCCCCGACAGAGAATTCTCTATATAGGTTAACGATAACGTATAGCTCCCATATATCGATACCCCGCGATATTCGGTATTTTGAAAATCCACGCAAGGAGTTCCTTGTGAGTACTTTACACGCAGACATAGATTTGTCTTTATAGGTCCACAATATCGTACATCCCCCCATATCGGCACCTTCCTATATTAGATATTTTAAAGATTTTAAAAGAATTTTAAATGGATTTTATTTTTTTTTTTAAATTTTCTAATTCGTTCCAAATGGTGGAGGGTATTCAAAGTTCGGTCCGGCCGAAATTACTGCTTTTTTACTTGTTTATATTAACATGCATCTGTCATGAGCTGTTATTCAAGGCAGTATAGCCACAAACCATTTGCTCAGAATGCATTTTGTCTAGTCTTTACCATTTTAGGTCTTTGGTCAATGTTGCTGATTTTTGTCAGTAACTCAAAAAATGAGCTAAAGAATACCACTACTGAATACATACATACGGTTTTTGTATGTGTATGACTTATTGTTTTGAATAATAAACAAAATAATTTTGGAAATTGTTTAATTCTGTTGAAATTTTAATCCATATTTACAGTTTTTCGGGTGACTTACAAGAGTTACAAGACTCTAGCCTCATTTTTGAAGGTTTTGAAAGTAAAAAATATTAAAATACCCTTTTATTGAAATACAAGTATATGTATTCTTGATCAGCATAAAATTCTAAGTCGATTTAGCGATGTCCGTCTGTCTGTCTGTTGTAAAAATTTAGTACACATGTTTATTTTGCCAGTAGGCAGGTTACGTTCGTAAATGGGCCATGCAGGTCCACGTCTTCGTATAGCCCCCATATAACGGTACCTCCCGATATTCGGTATTTTGATGATTTTAGCGACATTATTCACCGGAATTGTTTCTAATTTGACATTTGAAGTTCGTAATGGATACTACAGCCTAAAACAGAAAATTATCTGTGCAGGTCCACGTCTTCGTATAGCCCCCATATAACGGTACCTCCCGATATTCGGTATTTTGATGATTTTAGCGACATTATTTAACGGAATCATTCCAAATTTGGTATTTGAAGTTCATAATAGATACTGCAGCATGTAGATCCACATCTTCGTATAGCCCCCATATACCGTACCCCCCCACCGATATTCGGTACTTTTGATGATTTTAGCGACATTGTTTACCAGAATTGTTTCAAGTTCGTAATGGATACTTCACCCCATGCCAGAAAATTGTCTGTGCAGGTCCACGTCTTCGTATAGCCCCCATATAACAGTACCCCCCGATAATCGGTATTTTGATGATTTTAGCTACATTATAAACTGATTTTTCTTCAAGTTTCGCATTTAAATATTGTAATAACTTATGACAAAAGTTGCCTATGCAGGTCCACGTTGTCGTATAGGCATTCGGTATTTTTAAGAGTTTAACAGAATTTTTAACAGATTTTATTTTGCTTTTTTTTTGAAAATTACCAAATTTGTGCCAAATGGTGGAGGGTATTAAAAGTTCGGCACGGCCGAACTTACAGCTTTTTTACTTGTTTCTTTTATTTTAGCTTTCTGTCTCGATTCGTTCGAAAAACTACAACAGACAGACAGACGGAATATATTAACTTTGTAGGGTCTATTGCGATGCTTTAGTATATTTGCGAATTTACAGGAAAATCTGTTTAGCGATTTTTGAGTCCATAAATTACAAATTTTACATCAAACGTACAAACATTTCCGCTTCTTAAATAGATATAGAAGAACAAATTTAGCAAAATATAGCTACTTGAAAGAAATGCAATTGTTTACTTTCTTCATTTAAATATGTCATGAAAAATATAATCTTTATTAAAGATTCCATTTCACAGAACAATGACAACGAAAAGTGCCGTGTGGACGGGCTAGTTTGTGTTTCTAATTCTGTGAGCGAACAACATTTTTCGAATACTAATGGAACCGGCTAAAAAATATTTAATTAAAATGCTTTACCAGAAATATTGTCTGCATTGAAACTTATTTAAAGAATAATTACCAACGCTGAAGGAACGCTGAAATGGTTAACTTTATGTTCTTTTAATTTGCTTTAGCTTATTTCATTCTTTAACCACGACGACACAGGGCAGTGTTGCCCAAAGTTATCTGGCTTTTGTCTGCTGTACTAAATTTCTTGCCTGGCAAGCGATGTTGTTGTTATTTTAGTACTCAGTCGTATCAAATTGTGTTTCTGTTAACATTTAAGAGATACTGTGGCACGGGCTAAGAGAATGCAAACACAAACGTAAGAGATATCGTTGGCAAATCCATTGGTCATTTACTCTTGCTGTGTTTGGGAAAATTACAATTAAGTTTGTTTAGCTTTGTGACGTAGTTCATCGTTTATGGGATGATCTGTAAAATTGCATAGTCATCCATGTACACAAGGGAGCAAGAAAAACTTTCTTCCACTACTAAAGCAGGTATTCGACTTAGCTTACTTTCACGCATTATAAAGTATGCACATACATATGATTACTATTTATATATATACTAACTGAACCCGGTGCGCTTCGCTACCCCGTTTGATTTTATAGGCATTCAAAATTTTGTTTACGAATATATGTTGGATAAAAAAACTAATTTAAAAATTAAAAAAAAAATATTGCACTACTTTAATGGGTTAATAAACAAAACCATTAGGAAAGCAGTAACATGGCATGCATACACGAAGGGTTTGTCCTTTGAATTTATTTATTTCATAGCAAATAGCAAGAGTGCAGGAAACTGCAATTTTTTGAAATTGAGTGGCATTTCTGTTGCAATTAGTGAATTCGAGGTAGCAACATACTTCCCCGTAATACGCGTATTTCAAATTAATTGTTGTGTCGTTTTTTGTAGTGTTAGCCTAAGGCGTTGTGGGTCAATGGTTCTTATTTAAATCATATCCCAATCTGATCCGATTTAAATATAATTTTAAAAAATTTACTTGTACACCAAATTCCGCCACAACTTTCATATTTCATTGAAATTGGTGCCTCAAATATATGAAATCGGCCGAGAATATATATATGGGAGCTATATCCAAATTTTAACTAATTTCCAATTAATTTATCACATTTATTATTGTAACTAAATTCCGCCACACATTCTGAATTTCATTGGAATCGATCATATATATCGTGTTTGGAACATAACATGTATGAAGTCGGCCGAAATATATATGTTAGCTACACCCAAAACTCAACCGATTTCTATATAATTTGGCAATTTTTTTCTGGTGCCAGATTTCGTCTCTCTCGCTTTGGGTGCATCAAATATGTGAAATCGGCCGAATATATATATATATATATATATATATATATATATATATATATATATATATATATATATATATATATATATATATATATATATATATATATATATATACTAGCTAAACCCGGTGCGCTTCGCTACCCCTTTTAATTTTAGATGCATTCAAAATTGTATAATGGAATACTTTGTGATTTAAAAAAGTATTTATTGTAATGCTTTAGGATATACAATATTTTTTGTTTTTCCTTCAGGAGCGTAAACAAATAAATCGGTCGGTCTACCAACACGTGAACATGCCACGTACAGCTGACCGTGAGAAAAGCAGGAACATGCCAAATTAAGACCGCATACTCGAAGAGTTTGTCCTTGGGATTTATTTATTGTCATCGCAAATGCCAAGCGTACAGGAAACTGCAATCTTTTAAAGTTGAACGGCATTTCTGTTGCTATTAGAGGGATTCGAGGTAGCAATATATCTGAACCTACATACTTCCCCGTAATAATCGTAGCCTCAATTAAATTGTTGTGCAATTTTTTTACTGTAAGCCTAGTACCATTGCAAAGGCGTGGTGGGTCTATGTTTCTCAATAAAATAATAGGAACGCCAACTTTGAGTACTAAATAATGAGGTGGAAAACCTGGCAGATCCAACGAATTTAGGAATTCAACTGGATAATTAACAGCGTCGTCTTCAGTTGTAACAGTATCAATAGATTTATATGTTCTTGCATTTCCTGAAATACTATCTAGAATGCTACTGTTGACAGAGTCAACATCAATGTTTTTGGGAGCAAGTAATGCGCGTTCGGACAACCACTGAATATTATTGATGTTGTTTTCAATATTGGGAAACACGCCATCTACTAATTCTTCGATAGAGTTTGTTAATTTACAGAAGTCCGATGGAAATTTTATACATTTCGTGGCTGCGTCAACAGGTATTTTTCCATTTCCTAGATCCATCAGTTGTTTAGAAAAATGTTTGAATGATTCGTTACATTGAATTTGTGCACGCATATTAATCGTTAGTTTTAATGTACGAACATAGCTCCAAAGAAAAGATGATTTTAGGCATGCATTTAGTTCATCTGCTGGTGTTGATCTAGGAATAACAGGCAGCGTTTGTCGAAAATCTCCAGCTAATAAAACCAATGCTCCTCCAAAGAGTGCAGAATTGTTCCTCAAATCTTGCATAGTTCGATCTAGAGCTTCCAAGGATTTTTTGTGGGCCATTGTACACTCATCCCAAATTATTATTTTGCACGACTGAAGTACTTTACCCATTGACGAATTTTTCTTAATATTGCAAGTGAAATCTTCTAAATATTGCGCTTTTAGCGGTAGTTTAAATGCAGAATGCGCAGTTCTTCCGCCATCCAAAAGTGTTGCTGCAATACCTGATGAAGCAACGGCCAATGCAATATTTCCTTTTGACCGAACCTTAGCCAAAATCAGAGAAATTACGAAAGTTTTCCCTGTTCCTCCAGGTGCATCAAGGAAATATAATCCTCCAGATTGGCTTTCTATCGTTTCCAAAACATTATTGTATACCGCTTTCTGTTCAGGAGTTAAAAGGGATATTTTGGCTGCAAGAAATGTTAGCAATTGTTGTGCATCGTACGTGATTTCTCTTCGAAAATCAATGTCACCAATATTTTGGTCTGATCGAATAGGAGAAATCATACCCACTTGCAAAAGTGTCTTGCTTTGAATTTGTAAACATTTATCTTCAAGTAGTATTAAAGCCTCATTATACATTTCCTCTGAATATTGCAATGATGCATCATCCCTGATGATTCTTTCTCTGCTTAAGATATCTTCTGTCATACTGTTTTTAAATTTGTTCCAAAGATCTCTTGGGTTGGATGGTGAGCAAGAAACTAAAATAATTGCAAATAATATTCTTATTTGACGTGGATTACTTCCAATGGTTGAATCTGCCAGTGTTGTTTCCCAATGTGAATCATTTTCTAAAAGGTTCAGCTTCCTACATGCTTCTCTATAAGATGAAAGTACTTCTCCATCCACAGTTCTTAAGTATTCGAAAGATGTAGGTCCACAAATGTTGACTAAAAGTAGTCGTAAGTAAAAACACTCCGAATTGTGTGGATGAACATTATATATTCTGCCAAGAGCATCGGTGGAGTAAACATTTGGCCATCCTTCAACAGGTTTTCCTTTTTGGCGTCTTTTAAATTTTTTTGATGAGGGAATCCATGTATAATATGAGGGAATTTGGGCATACAACAACGTTTTGGCGAACGGATCGTTTGCACATAAATCGAAAAATGAAGTTAGAGTTGTTGCAGGAGGTGTCACTGACCTTTCTCGGGCATTTGATTCAGTGAAATAAACTCTTTGACCATTTTCCAGATGTACAGATAAATGCACAACAGTAGGATTTCGTTGATGGATAGGGAATCCTAAAATTCTCCAAACTGCTTCGTTACTGCTTATATAGCGTGCCATCTGATAATGACTTATTTCATCATTGGGATTTTGAAGTGAAAATACAGCCATATCCGAACCTTTATTTACGTATTTGCAGATGTATTTTATAGACTTCACCGAATTACAGCATTCCACATTGATGTGAGCATTGAACGTTTTAGACAAAAGTGGACAGTAAGGGACTATCCAGCGGTTATCAATATCTACGTCATTGTTTCTCACCTTTATTGCAAATGAATGACCACCATCAGTTGTAGATCGACGACGATATAGCGGATAGCCATCAATACCAGTTATTGTATCATAAACAAATTGCCGAGGGTATTTTTTGGTACACTTTCCATCCGCCATACATGGAGAATTTTGATTAATTAGTCCACATGGTCCATGAACCATATTCTTAACAACAACTTGATTTAAAATTGGATCCACGTTTATATCAGGTATTTCCGCAGATATAATATCATCAATCACGTCTGGTGTAATCTTTTCAACCAACCAAATAAGGATATGAGCATGAGGCAGCCCACGCTTCTGCCATTCTACCGTATACATCCAACATCTCGTTTCTCCAAAAACACGTAGCTTGACCATGAAATCCATTAGAGACATAAGCTTTTGCCTGAAGACCCGTGCTATTATGTCATGACGATGTACCGATGTCTGACCACTCGATAATGCAGACGTTATTTCCTCCCACTTTGGATTACATGTAAATGTAATAAATAAGTCTGGTCGACCATATGAACGCACATAAACCATTGCATCCTGCGTATACTCCTGCATATGGCGGGGACTTCCTGTGAAAGATGCCGGCAAAATCACTGCTTGTCCCAGATCATTTGGGTTGATATCGTTATGATTGTTTAAAGCATCTCGAAGATGAATGTAATCATCTGCACGCAATTTTGATTGGTGATGCCTAATATACATAAGACGTTCAGTTTCAATTTTTGCATACATATCCACGATGTACTGATGAAACAATTCACGACAATTCAATATGTGGTTTGTAGCATTTTGACGGATCATGATACGATACGCGTAGAAATTCATTGAGCTCACTTTTTTGCTGGTGGGGACATCTGTAAAAAGAAGATAGAAACAATGTACTTTAAAGGTGAAGGAAAAATTTGTGCAATTTCACTTACTTGTTACTGGATTTATTTGACGAATTTCAAAATGGTATCCATCGTCTCCGTATGGAAAAATAACAGGATACTGAAGAGCATCGTATGATCGATGGGTTTCCGATATTCTATTTACCCTATCATCGTATCGACGAACTATGATGTCTCTATGTGCCACAGGATCTCCCACCATTAAAATTGCGACATCATTAGCTGTAGGTGCATTATAGCGCCCTTGATGTTCACCTGCTGGTATCTTGTCAGCGTGTATTACAACTTGATGGTTTGGTAATAATTGGAGATCATCATTAGCTTTCTTGAATGTTCTTACTAATTCATTGTTTTCGTGCAACATTAGTTGTAATTCGGCAACAATTCGTTCACGCGTTTCGGGGTTGTATTGACGACGCTGTTGAACTTGGTCAAGGTCATCTGCTTGTCCCATAAAATAAATTTGAACATACTTATGATCTCTGGTTGGTAACAATGATCCCATACGATGATATATTTGGCCCTGGACTCGAAATGTTGGCATAAAATGTTCTCTAACTACATTAGTGGCACCGAACGACGTCATCTGAAAAAATGAGTTATATTTTCGAATATTTGAAAGAAAATGTTTGGACTCTGAAGTTGTTCCCGATACCAATGACAACAATGGTTGCGGTGGTGGTCGCAATTCGGGTAACACAATTTTGCCATTACCGCAGCATATTCCGGGAGGCTCATTTTTGTATTTTAAGGCATTGCAATAGTTGCAAACATTATCCATTTGACCAATAGAGACTAAATCGTCATCAGTGTAATCCATATTTGGATCGTAATTGAATGCGATGCGTTCATATACATTTAGACGGTTCTGAATTCGGCGTTGATTATAAATTCTGTGTGCATTACGTTCCTCTAATGTCTCATTATCTCTCATTCGCGCTACTCTGGAGCGCTCATTTCTGAGACGTCTATCTCGTTCTTCCGGTGTTTCATTACTTCTAACATTCGCTACCCTTAAACGGCCGTTTCTGAGACGTCCTTCACGTTCACTTTGTACCTCATTAGCTCGAACGGATGACGATCTGGAACGTTGACTGCTTAGACGAAGATCATGTTGTGCCGTTGTCTCAATAGACCTTAACCATAAAGTTCTATCATATTGATTGGAAAGACGAATTTGGTGCTGTTCGGGTGTCTCCTGAGCCCTTAATGTAGACGATGTGATTTGTTGATTTTGAAGGCGAACTTGCCGTTGTTCGGGTGCCTCGTGAGCTCTCAATCTTGACGATCTGATTTGCTGACTTTGAAGACGTATTTGCCGTTGTTCAGGTGCCTCCTGAGCTCTCAATCTTGACGATCTTGTCTGTTGATTTTGTAGGCGTTCTTGCCGTTGTTCGGGTGCCTCATGAGCTCTCAATCTTGACGATCTAATTCGTTGCTTGGAAAGTCGTTCATTTTCCTTATTTGGCGTTTCATTAATACGTGAGGTAGACGCAAATACTCTTTGAGTTCCAAGGCGTGCATTATAATGTTCCAATGTTTCAGCAGCTCTTGAAGTTGAGGCTCTATTCCGCTCATTAGTGAGGCGAAATTCGCGCTCTTGTGGTGTTTCCTGACTCCTTAGAGACTGTTGAACCAATGACCCTTTAGTTTTTTTGCCTAACGATGATTTTTTTGGAGGCATTTTTAATGTATATTTAATTAAATGTAGAAAGCACTCTCCTTAAAAAATTGTTAAAAACCACTATTTTAAATCACGGTTTCTTACAAAAATCGATTAATGAATTAAATTTTTAATATTATTTGAGCACCCGTATTTATAGAAATAATAAAATTCACTGGCAAAAATAGGCCATTCAAAGAAATGATTTCTTATATGGTAGTTCTCTGATTGTTCGGCACTTTTTAAATTTCACAAATTAAATTAATATTCACTTTAAAAATATATTAAAATTCACTTCTGAAAATGTACTTTTCGGTGTTTTGGGCACTTGTTGAATGACACAAATGAATCAATGAAGACCTGTTTGTGCTGTGTATTTTTCAAGATTTTATGTCCAGGTATCATTTGATGGACTTATTTATGACATCCAAATACCTATTTCAGCAAGTGTGCCTTTCAAAAAACTATAAGTTTGTGTAAAAATCATACCTGTCAGGTAGCCAACATAGGAAACCACAAATTCATACTACGTATTTTTTCTATAGTTTTCTCACAGGTACCTTTGAATGGACTATTTATGGCGGCTATATAACTGATACGTATATATTGTAAAATTTAGAAATCATTCAAAAAATTAACTTCCATTGATGATGTTTCTTTAAAAATCACTATTACCAGGTAAAGCCAGTAAAAACCAGGCATCAATAAAAAAATCAATAAACCGAAAGGGAAATTCAGCGTAAGCGTACCGGAGTCAAAAACATGACATATCCTTTTGGGCTTGACAAATATTATTGATTGTTAGAATCATAAAATTCGCCAATGTATATTTTCTAAAGATATATCTTTGATACAGAATTATATACCTGCACGTAATTGTGAATAAAAATGTAACATTTTGTCCATAGATTTTTCGTAGAAGTCATAAGACTTGGCATTTTTCTGGTTTCGGATTATTTGAATTACAAAATACAAAATATTAATATTTTTCAGAAAAATTTCGTTTTCCTTTTATAATTATAATCTAAGGCGATTTCAATATTATTTATATATATACCAAATTTCATAGAAATTGGAGATACATAGATAATAATACGTGAAATCCGGCGAAAATATATATAGGAGCTATATCCAAATTTGAACCGATTTCAATATAATTTGAAAAATAAATATTTAGCCCGCATTCCATCACACATTCCAAATTTCATTGAAATTTGACATAGACAACGTGTTTTATGCATCAAATATATCAAATCGGTGGAAAATATATATGGGAGCTACATCCAAATCTGAACCGATTTCAATATAATTTGGCGAATTTATTTTTGCCCCAAATTCCGTTACACGTTCCAAATTTCATCGGAATCGAACATACATATCGTGTTTGGTGCATCAAATAAACGAAATCGGTTGAAAATATATATGGGAGCTATATCTAAATCTGAACCGATTTCAATATAATATGGCACATTTATTTTTGTTTCAAATTCCGTAGGGCATTCCAAATTTGGAGACTGTATGTGTAATCGATCAATTGATATGTGCATATTAAATCTACTTTTTTGGGAGGTACCTCCGATTCTGATGCTATATCTCCAGTTCCAAGTGGAAATTCAAAAATGTATATAGCCTATGTTACTTTCAGGCGATGTTGCAGTATATATGGAAATTTTCAGGAAAATCTATTCAGCGGTTTTCGAGTCCATAAATTACAAACAAACAAACAAACAAACAAACATACAAACATTTTCCTCTTTTATAGATATAGATATATATATATATATATATATATATATATATATATATATATATATATATATATATATATATATATATATATATATATATATATATATATATATAATATATGGGAGCTATAATCAAATCTGAGCGAATTTGAATATAATTCGTCAAATTTATTTTTGTACCAAATTTAGTCACTCATCGCGAATTTCATTGAAATCGGAAATACGTTTCGTGTTTTTTGCATCAAATATGTGAAATCGGCGGAAAATATATATGGGAGCTATATCCAAATCTGAACCGATTTTAATATAATTTGACTAATTTATTTTCTAATCAAAATCCCGTCACGTATTCCAAATTTCTTTGGAATCGAACATACATATCGTGTATGGTGCATAAAATACATGAAATCGGTCGAAAATATATATGAGAGCTATATCCAAATCTGAACCGATTTTAATATAATTTGACTAATTTATTTTCTAATCAAAATCCCGTCACACATTTCCAATTTCATTGGAATCGAACATAGGTATCGTGTTTGGTGCATAAAATAAACGAAATCGGATGAAGATATATATGGGAGCTACATATATCCAAAACTGAACTGATTTCAATATAATTTGACAAATGTATATTCGATTTTAATTTCCGCTACTTATTTTAAATTTCATTAAAATTGTACATACATCAAATACATGAAATCGTACATGCATCAAATACATGAAATCGATCGAAAATATATATGGGAGCTATATCCAAATCTGAACCGATTTCAATATAATTTGACAAATTTATTTTCGGATCAAATCCCGTTAAACGTTCCAAATTTCATTGGAATCGAACATTCATATCGTGTTTGAGGCATCAAATGAACGAAATCGGTCGAAAATGTATATGAAAGCTATATCCAAATCTGAACCGATTTCAATATAATTTGGGAAATCAGTTTTTTAGATAAAATCCATCACACGTTTCAAATTTCATTGAAATTTGGGATACATAGCGTGTTTGGTGCATCAAATGCATGAAATTGACCGACAATATATATGGGAGCTATATCCAAATCTGTTGTTTTTGTTCCAAATTCCGTTACGCATTACAAATTTGGAGACTGTATTTGTAATCGATCAATAGATATGTGCATACAAAATCTAAATTTTTGGGAGGTACCTCCGATTCTGATGCTATATCTCCACTTCCAAGTGGAATTTCCAAAATATATATAGCCTATGTTACTTTCAGGCGATGTTGCAGTATACATGCAAATTTTCAGGAAAATCTGTTCAGCGGTTTTCTAGTCCATAATTTACAAACAAACAAACAAACATATAACGGTTCGTAAGCCCCCCCCCCCCCCCATGTAATGGTTTGAAGTTCGTAACGGATACTACAGTTTATGACAGAAAATTGTCCGTGCAGGTCCACGTCTTCTTATAGCCCCCATATTACGGTACCTCCCTATATTTGGTATAATGATTAATTTAGTGACATTATTCATCGGAATTGTTCAAATTTTGGTATTTGAAGTTCTTAATGGATACTCGTAATTTTCTGTGCAGGTCCACGTTTTGGTATGACCCCATATAATGGTACCTCCTTATATCCGGTATTTTGATGATTTTAGCTACATTATTCACCGAATTTTTGTTCATGTTTCGCATTTGAATATTGTAAAGGCTTATGTCAAAAGTGTCCTATGCAGGTTCACGTCGTCGTATTTTTAACGGTTTTCATTTTTTGAAGATTGCCAAATTCTTTCCAAATGTTGGAGGGTATTCTAGGTTCGGCCTGGTCGAACTTACAGCTTTCTTACTTGTTATATTTCAACATATATAAATAGAAAGTTAACTTAATGTAAAAATAAATTTATAAAAAGATGATTTATTCTAAAAAAATGTATCCTTTTTTCTGTGAAGGTCCTTCAGCACGAATGTTAAACTTAACAAAATTTTCAACATTATGCAATGGTTCTGATTCAGACTCCTGGAATTCAAAAAATGAGGGATTTTCCCATAGTCTTAGAACAAATCTAATATTTAACAAGTTAAAAAGCAGTAAGTTCGGCCGGGCCGAACTTTAAATACCCTCCACCATTTGGAACGAATTTGGAAATTAAAAAAAAAAAAATATAATCCGTTAAAAATTCTGTTAAAATCTTAAAAATACCGAATATATCCGTTATATTAGGGTCTATACGACGTGGACCTACATAGGCATTGCTTGTTATAAACCATTACCGTATTATAAACGGGTATAATGTAGCATCTTCAAAATACCGTATATAGGGAGGTACCGTTATATCGGAGTTATATGAAGACCTGGACCTGCATAGACAATTTTCTGTCACAGGCTGAAGCATCCATTACGAACTTCAAATACGACATCGCAAACAATTCCGATATTTCGTGTATTGTACCTAAATTCGCCAAAATACCGAATATTGGGAGGTACTGATATATGGGACCTATACGGGAGGTACCGTTATAGGGGGGGCTATACGAAGTCTGTAGTATCCATTACGAATTTCAAATGCCAAATGTGAAACGATTCCGGTGAAAAATGTCGCTAAAATCATCAAAATACCGAATATCGGGCCGCCGTTATATGGCGGCTGTACCAAAACTTGGACCGATATATTTCATTTATTCTCAGAATAGACAATTATTGAAGAAGCGAAAATCCTAAAAATGCCGACTACTGGTAAATAATTGGAAAATAAAAATATAATATTGAAAAAAAAAATGTGAATATTTGAATTTTTGTCAATGACATTTAATATTTCTGAATAGTTTCTCCTTTATTTTAGTTGATTGAAACTCACAGAGGTTAATTTAAACGTTGTGATAAAATAACTGGAAATGTATAGTTTTACATTAAATCAAATTGGCTAACCATTAAAATATTTATAAACTAACAGGTGGTTGCAGATAATAGTTGTGTCTGGTTATTTTTTTGCAGGAATTGTCCAGCGACTTATTTCTGAGAAAGTAAACAGACGGAATCCCTGCAAAAACTGGAAAACAATCAGCTGATTTGTCAAAACAAAACAATTTGTGTATCATAAACAGAGGTTGGACATGCAGAAATTAAAAAAAAGAAAAAAAAACAAGTAAGTAAGTTCGGCCGGGCCGAACTTTGAATACCCTCCACCATTTGGTACAAATTTAACAATTTTCATTAAAATAAAATCCGTCAAAATCTTATAAATACCGAATGTAGCCATATATAAGGGTCTATACGACGACGTGGACCTGCGTAGGCATCTTTTGCCA